ATATATATTTAAGAAAAAATAAGAGTAAGATACAATGGCAATTATGCATCTTTTAAACTATAGAAATAAAATAGATAATAACTAATGTGCTTATTAATAATAAAATATTATTATTTCATAAGAATAAAAAGCTGTTAACAATTGTTCCCTTCATCAAGAGAAATTGGATAGTTGAGTGTGGAAAAAGAGGAGGACTTACATTCACTTTTTTTTTCTTTTAATCCTTTGTATCTTGTACCATGTCTAATTATTAACTTTTCAATAATAAATCACTAAATAAAGGCCAGGTGCAGTGGCTCAAGTCTGTAATTCTAGCATTTTGGGAGGCTGAAGCAAGAGGATTAATTGACCTCAAGGGCTGGAGACCAACCTGGGCAACTTGGTGAGACCTCATCACTACAATATATCAAAATAAATAATTAAATAAACCGAACGTGGTAGCGTGTGCCTGCAGTTCCAGCTACTGCAGTTCCAGCTGAGGCCAAAGGATTGTCTGAGATTAGTGGGTCGAGGCTGCAGTGGCTGTGAGTGTGCCACTGCACTACAGTTTGGGCAACAGAGTGAGATTCCGACTAAATAAAATTTTAAAAACTATTTATAGGGAAAAAATATAAAAGCAAAAAGGCAAAAATAAAAATCTGTAGAACTCCAATGATTTCTTTTTTACTAAAATGAAGGGAAGAATCCATTTAACACACTTATTTTGTTTGCAAAGGTTTTAAATGGGATAAGAAATAGGATATAGGATTTTGAGAAGTATTTTTATAATTTAGTTTCCAAAATCATTTTAAAATTACACATACTACATTTTACTTCAGTTTACCTTATTTTTTCTTCATAAAAACAAAGACATTTTAAATTCTGACAAATCAAGCCGTAAAATAGAAGAAGAAAACTATATAGTAAACAATCTAAATCCAAGCTTTGTTTTCACTTCTTTGGTTCAAGAAGAAAATACAATACAGAATAGGAAAGAAGAGGGAAAAGATCTCTAAATTCCAGGAGGGCACAAAACTATATGACTCAAGAAGAAAAGCTTATTCAGTGTGATATGTTTAAGACACTGGCTATTGGTCGCATTGTTCATTTTTTCATTAAACTAACATTTATTGAATACTTGTGTCAAGCACTGTCCTACACACTGGGAATACAGCAATAAACAAAATAGGCAAGACCTTTGCCCTCATAGAGTTTAAAATCTAACGGGGGAAGACAAACATTAAGCAAAAATGTATAGTATTCCCATAGTAAAGTATTAAGAAGGAAAAACTGAAAGCAGGAATAGGGCATGTGAATGTTGGCAGGGAGGAAAGACCACAGCAAGAAGATGACATTTGAATAAAGTTATTAGGAAAGGGGTAGAGGGCAAACAATACAGACATCCTAGGACTAATCATTCCAGCAAAAGAAAGCAAATGCAAATGTCCTAAGGCAGGGATATGCCTAACATGTCCAAGTGACAGGAAGATCGCTGTGGTTTCAGTAGAATAAGCAAGGGGAAAATAGTAAAGAATTAAGGAGGTAAGAGTGGTTCTATCATTACAGTCCTTATACAGCAAAGTAAGAAGTTTGGCGTTAATTCTGAGCAAGATGGAAAATCTTCGGAAGGTTTTGAGCTGAGCTGTGATATGCTATGACTTATATTTCAAAGACTCATTCTAACTACTGTGCTCAGAACAGACTGAAGAGGTGCAAGAACTGAAGCAAGGAGACCAATTAGGACTCTGTTGCAATAATGCGGACAAGACAAATTAAAAGTAACGAGATTTGCTGACGGGTTAGCTGTGGATTATAAGAAAAAAAAGAAGTGTCAAGGATGACTCCAAGATTTCTGCCTGAGTAACTGAAAGAATGGAGTTACCATTCACTGAAGTGAAAAATACTGTGGGAGGAGGAGTTTGGGGGGAAATATAAGGAGGTCAGTTTGGGCCAGGTTAGGTTTGAGATTCTCATTACACACCACAGTAGAGATGCTGGGTACAGTTAGGAGTCTTGAATTCAGGGAAGAGTTCCATAGACTTCTTTTTTAAAATTACATATATACCAAAGTTACAAAATTTATAAAATTACAGAAGCAATCAAGGAGACCTTTAGATCATTAATTTATTATTTTACTCATTGTTTAGATAGCTGGAATCTTTTAATGACTGCCTCTTCTGAATATACTGTTATTAAATGTGCCTATGTTTTAAAAAAATATATTAAATAGGGACACGTAGCAAGGATAGTTTCAAATGGTGATGTTTTACAACTAAGTGGGGAAAATATAATTCAGCTCCCTTCTGATGTATTTGTATCATATTCCCTTTAGTTGACAACATTATCTTTTAGTAGTATGAACTCTGATACAAACTATTATACATATATAAATGTGTAATCTCTGTGTTTCCCCAAATGATGGCCGACTCCTTCAACACCATTTTATATAGCACTTTACATGGAACTGAAGATCAGCTTCACTACATATTTTGTTTTCCATTTTACTTAACTAAATAAGGTTAAACAGATAACATTAACTCAGAGGTTTGCATACTTAAGGTACTGACTATCAACATAACTTTTTCAAGTTGATTTAATATAAGGCTCTGTTTCTCTTCTCATGTACACAGTTGTGCATCCAAAATCTTGTCACTTTAAACTGAAGTAGCACAGAGATTTATTCTGAGGTTGAATAAAAGCAAGTATTCCATAAAGTGGCTTTCTATCCTTTGCATATTTGTCTTCTGATCTGAAAGCATTCAACGTTTACATTTTAGAAACACAAATAAAAAGAACAAAGTGGAGGGGGATGGAGTTTGATTTAAAATATTTTCTACCAAGCTCCCATGCAGCTTCTCCAAACTTGGCTATGAAGACACAAAAACATAAGAGCTAAAATGTTACCTCTCTCCTAACCTCCAACTTTCTAATTAGACAGAAAAGAACTCACCGAACTAGCAGCAGAACTCACAGAACTAGGCAGGAGGAGTAAGGCAGTGTCTATTTGTGTATTATGTCATATATTTGGCTGGAGATATTAGAGAAAGGGATACTTGAGTAGTGGCATTAGCAGGAGTAAGTTTGGCTTTTGAGAAAGTCTAATCCCTATGAGAAAAGTTCTATAGATCAAAGCAGTGAGGGGCAGTGGCATGGAAAAACACTGTAAGCAGTGTAGTTTGTGCTAGGAGTTTAAACACATCACATATTCATCAGTTCAGACTATGAAAGAACCAGCAGTGAGTGGTAGTAAGTGAGTGTACCATTTATAGTGAAAGGATGGAAGAATCCTAAAAGACTTCTAGGGACTAGAAATAAGACTGGGAACATGTAAACCTGTCCTGGAGTTAAAGATTTGAGAACAAAATTCAATGTTCACACACAGCAACAGAGAACAGGACAACAGATCAAGGTTTAAGAAGACAAACTTTGATTATGATGAGATTTACCTTGCATAAATATAAAAGAAAAAGTCAACGTGGGTCTTATAATCATAAAAAAGGAGAAGGAAAAGGAAGTCTTTTGTAGCAAAAAATATTTTAAAATTTATAAAACTCAAAGAATAGCATACTTCTGAAAATTATCTAACACAGGATGCAGAAAAAAATTTCAAGTAAAAGTCAAACATTCCAAACAGTTATTGAGTGGTTACTGTGTACCAATAAATAATTTGTCACTATTAAGTTGTCATTATGTATCAAAGCTGTCACAAATATATAATCTGTATTAGCCCATTTTATATCCTCATAATAATCTCACAAGATATTATTATCCCCTTTTTAAAAATGAGAACTTACCCAAAGTCATAAAGCTATTAAAATTTTTAAAAATCATAGCTATTACGTGATAGAAATAGAAAATTTTTCCTTAATTCACTCAAATAAGAGTATTTACTAGGAGGTAGGTATTATTCTAGGCACTTAAGATATATTGGTGGAGAAGAAAAAAAGACTTCTGCCTTCAAGAAGCTTTTATTCCAGCAGGGTATAAATTATAGTGTGAAAAAGTAATGAGTTCTGTGAGGAGGGGAATTAGAGTAAGTTATTGACGTTGGAAAGTGTATGGTGGGGGGTGGAAATTACTGAATAGAGTCTAATTTGAGGTGGATTTTTGTGAGTCTGAGAATAGGATAATTTCTTTCGGTCACACCTATTTTGCAAATTGAAACATTTGGTCCTCCTTTTGTCATGTATGATTTTTATGCTTTCTTCATGCCTCCCTTTTCTTACTTCTGCTAAATATCCCATTTTATTGTCATTTCTCTGTTTAGTGATTTAAAAGGTATATTTTATTCTATTGATGGCTGCCTTTTAATTGTGTACATCTTACATTTCTCTACCATTCTCAAGCGCCAAGGAAAGTAAGCGTCATAAGACAAGGTCTAATGCATGTCTCCTCTATTATATCACTGAGCCTAACACAATAGTTCAGAGTATGAAAATATATTTGTTCTATGAGTGAATAAATTAATAGTAAGTATGAGCTATATAATCATGATTCTGCTCTGGGACAAAAGATAGACTCTGGAAGAAGAAATAAAGATTAGAAAGCAAATGCAGAAAAAAGTGGAAAGAATGCTACAGAGGAGAGAGTATTTATACTAATACTAACCCTGTGACCTTGAAAAGCTTACCCATTCTCTCTGCACCTCTATTTTTTTCACTCCAGGTCCTTTTCAGAAAGAAAGGTATCAGTCTTTTCCACAAGAGGATCATATGCATATATCATAAGAAATAAGTTGATACATTGTATAAGATCATCGAAAGGTTTAATGAGTATTTTTTATATAATATGAAAAAAATCAAAATATTTTATAACTTTTAGAAGTAATAAGATAATGCACATGCTAAAAAAAAGGGAAGAAAATAACTCTCCACAATTTTTTAAAAAAGAAAGTCCCAAACCCCCAATTTGGAAGAAAATATTTATACAGAAAAACTCAGAACATTTTTAGATGTCATTAAATGTTTTGAAATATAAAAGTGAAAAATCTTGTAAGTTCTCATAACACATTTATTTCACATTTATTTCAGATAGGGATGAAGTTGTTCAAGCCTCGCTTTTCTTGACAAACCAATCCTGATTGGTCGACTGCATGTCTTAAGAGGTTGTACTCTTGAAATGCCATGTGAAAAGTGACTACCTAAAAGTATAAGACAATATAAGTACAAGATGGAGAGAAAACTATCAACACTTACTATACCTAAAATACTTTACTTCCAATCATAATATTAGCAACATTTACTGAATATTTACTGAGCATTTACTATTTATATGCCAGGTACTGTTCTAAGTGCTTTAAATGCATTATTTTACTTAATCATAGCTCCAATTTTAAAATGTGGAAACCTAAGCACTCAAAAAAGTAAAGTGCCCAGTATAAGATAGCAACTAAATAAAATCAGCATTCCGATTAGGCAGTATGACATAACAACAATATCAAAACTATATAGATTTTAAAGCCAACTATATGTTGTAGCTTTAAACACCATGCCATTTTCCTACAAGAAACTAAACAATTATGCTATATTGTTTATATATATTTGGTTTCTAATAGAGATTATCATCAATAACAGAGCCCAAATATATTTCATCTGTAATACACCAAGGGAGGGCTCTGATTTTGAAGTTTTTAATCTAACATCACATTATATCATTTTCAAAAAGTTTCAAAACCTTTCATGTATCATAAGAAATAAGTTGACACATTGTATAATGTTAACCAGATAGGTAAAATCAACTAACTTTGATAACAAAATACAGTATCTCTAACTTTCAGAGTTTTTACTTTTCTTTCAATAAACTGTAGGGGCCATCCATATGTGAAGACAAAAATGTAAATCAGTCTTTAGTGGATTAGTATGACCTTAATATAACAGCAAATTGTGCTAAACGCAATGAAAACAAACCAATGTTAAATCTGACAAAAGGTAAACATGATTTCTACTGACTCGAGCCAAACAATCTGTGTGTATCTATGCAAACATTAATGAAATGGAGTACAAAATTAAGCTACGTGTAAATAGAGAAGAAAACAACCCAATACAAAATAGCTATAAATCAGTTTATGATATTTGATTCAACATTAAAAATCATAAAATTATAAAAAGCTAAAGAAAATACCACTTTATTATGATATTTGTAGAACTTTTAAACAAAAGGGATTGTTCAAAGAAGACAAAGCTGTTAGATCATACCAGATTTACATTAAAGTTATAAAAAGTTAAAAAAGAATACCACTTTATTATGATATTTGTAGAACTTTTAAACAAAAGGGATTGTTCAAATAAGACAAAACTTAGATCATATTTGATATACCAGACTTGGTTATAAATAAGAAAATTTGTTACATATGCTAAGTGTACTTCATCCTTGCAAGGTTCTTTTAGAACAAAGTCGTGATTAATAGTCTATTTGATCGTGATTACTTTTTCAAAGTATAACTTTTCTCTTTTATATTCAAACATGATAGATACTTCTAGTAATTTTGCAAGGGATAGGAAATCACTGAACTGATTTTTATCAATAGCAGTTCTTTTGCAAAACCTATGTCCTTAAAACAGACATTAAATTACAGTTGTAATCCTTTGTCTCCTGAGATTTCCTACCTTTATAAAAAATAAATTATGATTTTTTAATTATTGCTATATGCTGAATTCATTTATTGTTTTTGTATTATTTAACAACACTAAACATTCGAGCATACTACTGATGACAGTTGTTCATTTTACAAATCAGTGTTTTTTTAAGTTATAAAACATATTACTCTTTTTAGAAACAATACTACCTCAATTGTTCTCTAAATTCTTGCAATTCAAAGTGTAGGCCACAGACTAGCAGCATGTACATCTGCCAGGGGCTGGCTAAAAATGCAGAATCTTAGGACCTGTCCCACAACTAAAACAGAGTCCCTTAACAAGATCCCCAGGTGATTCATCTAGACATTAAAGCTAGGGAAGCATTGGCTTGAATGATATATAAAGCACCTGGCAAACTGGCTGGCTGGCATATAACACATACTCAAAATAATTTCAAAATACTGCATTTGCCTTACCTACACTACAAAGGGGAAGAGAGGAGAGATGCAAAGAGACTGAAAAGGATACATTGACGACATTTAGTGGTAGAAACTTTAATTAAGAAGGAGGCATTATGACAGGTGAGGAGGTATCAAGATGTTTCAGGACAACCAGAATCTTTCTGATACCTTTAACATCACACTGTATAAGCAGGCACCCACTCCACCTAGGCAAAGCATTAAGTAAATTCTTATTAACCCCATGTCCCAGTAATAAGCCTCAGGAAGATCATTGAACATTTTTGCTCTTTGAAAGTGAATCCAACCGGGCTCGGGGGGTCAGCCTTTGGGAGGCTGAGGTGAGTGAATTGCGTGAGCCCGCGGGTTCGAGACCTGCCTGGGCAACTTGGCGAGACTTCATTTCTACAATAAATCAAAATGAGCCCGGCGTCGTAGTGCGCGCCTGTAGTTCCAGCTAACTTGGCAGGCTGAGGCGGAAGGATCATCGGAGCCCAGCAGGTCGAGGACGCGGTGGCCGGGTGCCGCCACTGCACTCCAGTCTGGGTGACAGAGTGAGACTCCGACTCAAAAAAAAAAGAAAGTGAATCCAAGACAACTATACTAACATAGTATTAAATAATTCTGGTTGACCCTACATATCATTTTTCATATTACATGACAAGTCACCTTAACTTGTAAAGGCAGAAATCACATTGTTATGGGTTAAGATACTTCAAAAAATGCAATGTTTCTTTTCCAATTTGTACATATCTTAATTAATCTTCTTCATATATCCATTTTATTAGCAGAATTACAATCATGATGACAACAGGGGCATGTGCTCTCTAGTCTCCCTTTATTCTATATCAAATATATGTTCCTAGAATCAATTTCTTTTCTTTCTTTCTGTCCTAGAAGCAAACCCTATCCCCTTTCCAGGCTAATTCTTGCCACTCTACTTTTAGACCTGTGGAGTATTGTTCCATCAATTGTTTCCTTTATTCAGGGAAGAAGAAACCACCTGCAGGTTTTTGGTATCTCAAGGGCAATAATTTTTCAGATTATTTAATTGTAAGTTAAGAAAAGAGGAGACAGTATAGTTCTGAGATAACAATTAAAAAGGTATCAGAGACAGCATTCTACTGATAAAGAGAAGCCAGAAAAAGATATTTTGAGAAACAATGCATGATTGAAGACGTTTTGGTTCAATACAAAATATGGGAAACATTGATAATAAATACATAATAGAGAGTGACAGTTCATCAATGGAAATCCAACTTAGATAAATGCCTTTTTGGCTTTGCCAATTAATGTTGCATACGTTAGATGTGTATAGTTGGCATATGAAACACCTATATTATATCCATGCAAAATTTGAACCCAGTTTTGCATTTCCCGGTATTATTTTAAATGTCACGTAAATTTTAACCAACTTTTAATTATTGGAATTTTTCATAAATTATGTCTTTTAAAAGTACTAAAATTTTGGATTTCCTAACTACCTAAGTATCTATATTTTCCTCATAGTAAGAATACAAGAATGCAATAATTGTCTTAGAAGATATTCTGGAAAATAGCTAAAAATCTTACCTTGTCTCAATAAATAATTAAATTTTTCTTCCTTACATTCATCAGGGGGAAAAAAAGGTCTTTTGGGTAAAGGTTTTTCACAGTCTGAAAATAAAGAGTGATATGTTATAGCAAAGAGTAGTTTTATATAAAAATGTTAGCAAAAATAAATTATTATTTTTTCAAAAATATTTCCTTCAGTTCATTGCTAATATTTAGAAAAATGAAGTAAGACTCTTCAAAGCTCCTTTTAAAAATTAAATTACTTGTTTTCTTTAACTTCAACATATTATTTAACATTTGAATAGACCTTTATGGAAAAATAGTATGTACATCAGTAAACATTGTCTTGCATTTTATTACTATCTTCTTTTCTGTAAAAATTATGCGTTTGCCTACACAGAAATTTTTTTTTTAAGTAACTTCTTTGCCATGAAAAAGATCATTTTTAAATGAATTTCATACCTTCCTCAGAAGCAGAATAAAGTAATTCTTCCTCTGGTGTTTTTGGGCAGCAACACTCATTAGGAACTCCCTGTTCTCCATTATTGAGTACTGCCTTCCATTTAAATAAACTTTGGTAGCTTTTACGCATATTAGGACCTGCTGTAGTATCATCCAGTAAGGAAGAGGCACATACTTCATTGACTGCAATCATTTTCAAAGCTTTTTCTGTTTCCATTTTTACCTCCTCAGCATTATTTCCTTCAAAGTATTTTTTTTGTCTATTGTTCATTTCCACAGTGCTTAAAATTTCATTTTCCTTACTAATTTCATGAAACATGTGAAGTTCTTCAAGTACTAAATCAAATTTACTCTTCATCTCAAAATCTTTTGCTGTTGTCAGAGCTTCTGTTGATAAACATTCTGCAGTTGAGTCCCGAAAACATTCATTGTTCCCTTCACTCAAATCAGTTTCAAATTGATGTTCAACATATAATGTAGATTCATTCTTTGGATGAAAATTCTTTGAATTAGCAAACTCACTTTCTTGCAAAATACTTTCACATTCATTTCTGTCAGCCACATATTTTTGATTAACATATTTAGTTTCTTCCACATTTACTTTGTTACTCAGTGAAGCTGCCTGTACAGAAAATGTGGCATGAGTCAGAAAAAAGCTATCTTTCTCTTCCTTTTTTATCTTAATATCTTTGTGAACTTGACAACTATTTGCTAAACTTTGTGCTTTTGCTTTCTCTTTCAAAACTAAGTTATATTTTTTTTCTTCTATTTTGTTTGGCAAGTTCTCAAAATGTAGCATTTGAGTCATTGTCATGTTATTGATCTGTCCACTATGTATTAAGTCATGGTTTGTCAGCATGGCCTGTTGCATAACATTGTAGATATCTTCTAATATATACTTAGAATTAAAGCTATTGATATTATTATCTTCCTGTTCTCTTTCAGTATCTATACGTTGATTGTGCAAATTTACTTCACAAGATTTTTCATTAACATATCCATGGTTGTTCCGTATAAATTGAGGACCAGACTTAACATGTGTTTTCATAGTACTGGAACTAGAGTGAGCCCAATTTTCCACATTCGTGAATTCTTCAGCACAACTCATATTCTTATAAGTAATTTCTTTTATCAAAGAAATTTCTTCCATGTCATCATAATCCATTAAAAGAGGAATTTTTTCATGTGTATCAAAAGTTGGAGAATGTATATTTTTAGTTGTCATGCTAAAGAAATTTATGCTTTTTTTCTTAGACTCTTCAAAAACTTGATCAGTGTTAAATAGCTTTCTTTTCTTTAGCACAGGTTTCATATTATCTTCTAACAGTCCTGAAGAAGCTAAAATCCTTTCTAGATGTGTAGTTTGATTTTCCACTATAATATTTTTTGAATAATTAAAATACACTATCCATTTGAAAATACATTCCTCTTCTAATTCAAAACCATTTTCAATTCTTGTTAAAGAGTCAAAGTTATTGAGCCAAAAGGCTATGTTGGCTTTCAATATGTTATTTAAAGGTTCTGAAACACAAGTTTGTAAATATATGCTTAAAGTCCCATTCTTTATATTGACATTCATATTCCTGGTTATTAGATTTTGAACATCAGTGTGCTTTTTGCACTTCAGGATTTTATACCAGGATAAAATGCTATTATCTTTTTTATTTTCTGAAATACTTTTATGAAAATAAAAAATTTCTGTAATGATAGTTTCAAAAATGTTGCATAAAGGAAAATTTTTTTGTGTAGAATTGTGCCTCAACTGCAACGTGGTATCTTTTTCTCTTTTATTCTTTAAGCAAACAACTTTTATTAAAGCTTTTTGGTTACCCAGGCTTCCTATCATGAGAGGCTTTGATTGTTCTCCATGCACATCTATGACTGAGGTATTGCAATAATCTTCCTTGCTTAAGAGATCTTTTTCTAATAATGGTAGCCAATTCCATTTTTCTCTAGTTTTTTTAATATTTTCCAATTTAATCTTGTAATTATTCATAGCCCAATCATTTTCCCTATTTATTCTCAAAATACATATAGTGTTACAGTTCCCGCTTTGAGATTTTTCTAACCTGATGGGTGTGTAGTTGTCCAGACACGTTTCTGCTTCCTTCCAATTTGCATTTTCTAGCATTGTAATGAAATTCCTTTTAGGGTCTCTTACATCACACTTGATACTACTGTAGTTATAGTAGTTTGAACTGATCAAGTCTTTTCTTCTCTCGAAAGTATTTTGGCTGCTTAGTGACGGGTGGTTACTTTCATAACACTCGGAAAAATTACTTTGTACATCTAACATTTTTTTATCATCCTGTAACTTTTGCTTCTTAACATCAGGTCTATTTTTGGACCCGTAAATGTTTGTGAAATCCCTAACATATGCCTCATTTTTGTCATTCTCTTTCTTTGCTGTTTTCTTTAAATAGACAGAGGACATTTTGCTATTTAAGTCCGTTGGAAACTCAGGGACACTTATTGTGCTTCTATCTCTAAAATAGCTAGATGTGGCAATTTCCAAGCTGGGTTGGTTTGGAGATTTTGATATTTTTAGGGCAGATGATGAAATGTTGTTTTCTTTTTTATTTGATGGCATAACACTGCCAGCTTTACATCTGTTCTTGATTTCACAAAATGCTGATTTAGTTTCCTTGTAAAAGGTAACATCTAAAAACGGATGTCCTGTCTGTCTTACATAACTATTGTCTTTCTGAATACCGTCTCTCCCATGGACTAACTGTTGTTTCCGATCCTCGTGTTTAACTCCACGAATATCGTGTGTGGAGGTGTTGGGGAAACGTTGACTAGATCTTGCTTTGGATCTATCATTGTAAGGCACACTGAAACACTCTCTGCCATGCGACCCTGGTTCACGAGACCTTCCTGAAGCCCTAAAATCAGGTGCCAAACGTTGTGAGAGGGGAGACTCCACACAGCTGTTCATTTGGAATTTGTGTTCTGGGCACCCCAGATGCCATGTCGGCCTCCCACTGACAGATTCCTCTACACACGAGTCTGTGGAATTATCAAAAATCGCATTTATGGAAACAAAGACGGCCTTGAAGGGTCTGGGAGACAACTCCCAGACTTTTTCTCCCTCAGACAAGCGGGGCACCACGGGCAGCCGCCACCCCGCCTCAGAGACACCGCCAGGCTCCTCAAGACAGAGCCGCTTGCTCCTGGGTGGTTGGAAATCTGGGTCTTCAGGCCGCCCCCTGAGGTCGGCAATCAGCGGCGTGTGCTGCGTGAGCGACATGACTCCGAACCGAGGGGATCTGTCCGAGGTCCCGGCCAGGCTCCGTTCTCTTAATAGGCGCGAGGCCACTCCGCCCCGCCCCCCGGAGCCACATCGGCCACGCCCCTGACACACCCCTCGAGGCCTGACCTTGGCCCTTCTTCAAGGCTCGCCCCGCCCCGAACCCGCCCCTCCACAGCCCCGGCTTTAGCCCCGCCCTGCCCCCGGTTATTCCCGCGCGCCCTGGATTGTTTCTCTCTTTAAGCGTGGGGCGCCAGGGCCCGTTACCTTGACTGTTTTTAGCGCCTTTTTCTAATGCCGCGGCTAATGCTTCCTTCCCTCTGGTAGAATGAAGAGAAAAAGTCAGACTCTCTCACTTTTTCTTACATTTGTGAATGGCAACAACTTTATTTTTAAAGTTCTAAAAGTCTTATGTTTTCCTCAGAAACGGCTTCTCCACAGCGCGGGAGTGACTTGTTCAGTCGTTCTCCGGGCACCAGACAAATCTTCCTGTGTCTGGAAAAACGCCGTCATCACCCCAGTGGCACTTAAAAATCCGATTTCCTCTTCACTAATAACGTGTGTCTTGAGGGAAGAAGGCACCAGTACTGAACGATTTTCACTTAGAACTGTAAAAATTTTTTTTAAAGAGTCCATATGTGCTGTGGGGGGGTTCTTTTCAAATACTGTGGATAAAATTACTTAGAAATAAAAAATTATATGTTTGAGCTACTCCATTCAGTGTAAGCATAAATAATAATACAATTCTGTCTCAGACCTCACAACAAAATTGCTCATACTATTTCTTTTTCCTCAGCTTTGAGAATCATCTTTATACGATTTCCAGGCCATTCTGATGTGTGTGAATTCTAAAATCATAAAGAAGTGATTCTCAAAATGTGTAGTATCATGATGTGCATGTTGATTAAGAAACATGGAATTACTGCTCGGTCATTGAACGCCTCCATCCTCTTTGGTGGTTGTTTCAAAGTTGATATGATTTGTGTTAAATTGTATGTCAAACTTTAGGCCGGGCTAGGTGGCTCACCCTGTCATCCCAGCACTTTGGGAGGCTGTGGCGAGCGGATTGCCTGAGCCCACAGGTTCGAGACCAGCCCGGGCCAGTTAGCGGGACCTCCTCTTTACAATAAATAAATAAATAAAAATTAGCCGGAAGTGGTAGCACGCGCCTGTACTTCCGGCTACGTGGAAGGCTGAGGGGGCAGGTTGAGGCTGCCGTGGCCGTGAGCATGCCACTGTACTCCAGCCTGGGTGACAAAGTGAGACCCCAACTCCAAATAAAAAATTTTATTAGGACTACAATCATGTGAAAAATGATTCCTAATTTTAGAAGCCATGGGAGCATATATGGCAAGAACTAAACTCATCCTTTGTGCTCAGAGACATCTCCCGAAACACCTACGGCAACTTGACCGCATTTTTTAATGAAATAGTGAACTTCAGCCGGGCACGGTGACTCACGCCTATAATCCCAGCACTTTGGGAAGTGAGGTGAGAGGATTGCCTGAGCCCACAGATCCGAGACCAGCCTGGGCAACTTAGTGAGACCTCATCTCTACAGTATATTAAAAATAAACTTAGCCAGGCATGGTGGGATGCGCCTGAATCCAGCTACTTGGGAGGCTGAGGTGGAAGGAGCACCTGAGCCCAACAGGTCGAAGTTGTGGCAGCCATGAGTGTGCTACTGCACTCTAGCATGGGTGACAGAGTGAGACTCCAAATGAAAACAAAAAACAAAAAAAAGAAATAGTGAGCTTTTCCCCAACACTTCCACACGTGATCTTCATGGAGTTAAACACGAGGATCAGAAACAGTCTATGGGAGAGACAGTATTTGGAAAGACAATAGCTATATAAGACAGACAAACATTTTTTTTTTAGATGTTACCTTTTACAAGGAAATTAAATTGGCATTTCATGAAATCAAGAACAAGTGTAAAGCTGACAGTGAATCCCTTCATATTAAATAGTACAGCACTGGAACCAGTTATTTCATTGCTATGATATGTGCCTTGTAATGGAATTTTGAACATTGAAGAACTTATTTATGACCAAAAAAATCAAAATTTTATACTTTATATTTTTCTAAGGTGTAGTAACATGTGAAACAGTCACTGACATACTCTGCAGGTTCATTGATACGTGTTGTGCAATAGTAGTCTGTTTGACAGCTTCCACCAGGTGTTTTTCTATTCAAGCAGACGATGCAGTTTCATTTTCTTCCTCCCACATTAATAATAGGTAATTTATTGTCCAGTCTGTGCACTCTGTAAAAGCACTCCGCACATTCTCTTTCTATGTAATGCCAACTGATTTTTTTAAAACATATATTTCGGTATATTTTCCATCCCTTTATTTGCTTTTTCATGCACTTTTAATGAAAAACTTCAAGAAAACATATGTTTCTGAAAAATTTGTGCTGGCACAAGTTTGTCTTGCACAATCACCAGTAATCTCTTTATACCCCCCTGAAAAGGGGCATCCCAGTGGTTTGTACCCTCAGAGGGGACATCCGAGTGCAAAGGGCTAGCATACTACTTTAGGTAATAAGGTGTTCATCAGCCTCGTGCCTTCTAAGTGCTCTTAGATATATTGTGATTACTTTAGCTTGTAAATCCCTCTAGAGAAATGTTTACTTAAATTTGTAGAAAGTCTTGCAGCATAAGCGCTTCATCGACACCATAAATAAGAATGTGGCAGTGGTTCACATTACACATCAGTGAGTTCTCAAAGTGCTACTTCTAGGTATTTTATGTCCTACTGCTCTTTTATCCTAGATTTTCCACAAATCGACATTCCATTCTAATACAATCTGTTTGATGTTTGCGATCAGCCCAAAAGGGGTGACTTGTATAACTAGGGTGGATATAGTTGGTGCACTACTGTGATTTTAGGAGCAAGGGTTTTTTTTTTTATTATTCTGCAAAGTAAATGGCCTTGTGATTTCCAGTCTAGATTGATCTGTAACTTTTTAAAAATTATTTCTTCATCTTGCTTCTTTTCCTAAGCACACACTAGTTTTTAGATTTCCACATTATTTTTTATCAGTTATACATTGTTTAAGGATTTAAATTCAAATAAAACCCAGGAATACTCCATTTAATTTAACAATTGTTTGGGAACTATGTCAAAGACTCTGTTAGGTGTACAGAACTGTATAGTTATTCTTTCTGTCCTGAAGAAACTTATAGCAATGAAGAGTCTTTTCTTGCATTTACTTAAACATTATATTGGCCATTTCAAACAATACCTGTTGAAACTACTTGTTATGTGTTGTTTCTTTTAATTTTTAAACACTACCCGAAAAATGAACCTATTATAAGTGACATGCAAAACAGTTGTCTCTTCAAATAATCAAAATCAAACTGTAAATAAGACTAGTTCAAATCTTATCCACATTTCAAGCCCATTTCAAATGTCACATTTTTCTATATCAATCTTTCCTCTGAAAGCACTTACCTCCCTTAATAACAGTAAACTGAGCTTTAAGGACAGCACCTGTCTGACTCTTTTTAGCTTCATGTCTTATTACAGTTCAGACCTGAATAAAGAATTAATGGCTTCATAAGATAAACCTCATACTGAAGATACAGCACAATCTCCTACCAGAGTTAAGTGGGAAATCCTTAATCCTTAATAAACAATGAACTACCTATGTCCAATGTCCTAAGCATGGTATGCCACATCCTCAAATCTAGGTCCTACTTAACTTTTTCAGCTTCATCTTTAAAAACCAAAAAAAAATTTTGATCCTCATGCTGCCTACACCAGAAATGAACCTATTACAAGTGATATGCAAAACAGTTATGTCTTCAACTCATCATAATCAAACTGTAAACAAGATTTGTTCTCCATACAGGGGTTCCAAAAAATATATACACATTTAAAGCGGTGTTATCTACGTATTACTTTTGGAAGATGAATTGAATTACAGTAGTAATATGTAGTATGATGTTCACTCAGCCATGCTTCTGCCATTTTCTTTGACTGTCCTGCCTGTCGTCTGGTGATGCTAACCTTCATTTGATTAACGCCATCTTTTGAGCAAATGCCATACTTAAAATGTGTATACATTTTGAAATCCCCATATATATACATTTGCCCAGGGTACTGTCCCAAGAGGTCCTCAGAATGTGTGCCCCTTTCTTGGTATTTTATGCATATCCTCAAAGCCCTTATCTTTCTCCATCTGGTGAATTTATATTAAGCCTTAAAAGGGTCTACTTCCTCCCTGCTCTATCTAATCCATGGGCAGAATTACTTGCATCTTCATCTGTGTTCCTATAGCAATTTATTTCCAATGGTAGAACATTTAAACATCTTATTATATTGGGTTGTTTATATGTCCCCTCCACTAGACTCAGCTAATCAGGAAAAAGGTTTATTCATTTTTATATACCCAGTGCTACCCACTAAATACCTGTCTTAATGAGAAGAAATGAAATGACTCTCTGTTGATAGTTATTTACCAATCCACAAAGATCTGTGGTATATTGAAAGTACTTTAAGTTTCTCTTTTTGTTTTCTTTTGTTTTGGTTTCATGTGTTAAAGTGGAGACTTGCTTTTATAATCATGTTAGAATATATTTAACCTGAAAATCATGCTGAGCTATACCACCATAAGGGCCGAAAACTGATGTGAAATAATAGTGGTTTTAGCATCACTTAAGTTTCATGCTAAGACCAGAAATGTCACACAGCAGTTTTTCTCTCTTGCTTCATTTAATAAATCACATAAGAGGTAAATAAATATGCTAAACCTAAAGCTTTGTTTTAGACTGAAAAATAATAAAAAATATTTTAAATAGTTAATAAGAACCACTAACAAAAACATTTAAATTAAATACAATAGTTAGAGAGGAAAATATCACCACTTACTAAAAATATTTAAAATAAATATGGCTATAAATAACACAAATAGCATTTTTTATCAAGTCAATAATAAGCACTAGGTGGGAAAATATTATTGATATCATGATACTCTTCATATATGCATATGTG